AAAAAACACCAAAAACGTAGCCAAAATGGATTGGAAAGATCAAAACACAACAAACAAATCAAGAAAAAAAAAGAACCAAAATAGCAACCAAAAAAAGTGATGAAGATTCCGGTGGGTTGACCCGTCAGAATCTAGAAAATTTCACCGGAATCCATTTTCATCGGCTTTTAAAACCGGATTTCAACATAAACGAGTTCCCTACAATCTTGTGAACCAATTCAAACACCAAACAAATGCTTTAACATCATAAATCATGAGGAAAAGTGATATCTAAAGTTCATGAACTTGGAATTATCATATGGCCCATTTAAATCTCACACAAACTTTGAAACCTCAAAGAGAAAGGGTTAGAGATTACCTCTGGTGCTTGAGGGTTCGAATCAACGTGAGAAAACTCAAGAAAAACAGTTAGCTGGAAATGAAGCAAACAAATTACAGTCGCAGAGGTTCAAGTGTTGATGAACTAGTAAATTTGGGCTCAAATTAGAGTGGTTTAATGACATTTATCAGGTTGTTCTCCAATGACCAAAGATAATGCAGAAAAAATAATCTCCTCAAAGGAAGTCGGAGCTGGTTGGAATCAGGTGACGAACAGGGCTGTTCGGTCAACCGTGGCTCAAATTTTTTTGTTTGCAGAAAAAGGAATTTCTTTTCTTTCTTTCTTTCTCCTTTTCTCTCTCTCTGATGTTTTGCGACTTTCCTCCCTCTCCTCTACCCTAAAGCTGCGTTATCTTCTATTTATTTGGGACAAAAAAACCTAAAACCTAAGATGAATGGTTGAGATATGAAAGAAAATGGGTTATGTGGCTTTTTTGGTTCATTGGATTCATTTTTCCAGTTGTTTCTTGAAGAATTTGGGGTGGTGAGGTGTCCTAGTACTCGCTAAACTTGGAGCAAAAGAAAACAAGAAGCAAAAACAATGTCACGCCCTGAGCCCGCACGTGCCCGTCACATGACATCCGCCGTACTCCCAAGTCTCACTCAAGAATACAAGGCTACATTAACTAATTTAACTTTAACAACACTAAATCATTCAACTAAATAAAGTGCAGTACGAATTACATATAAGAGAAAGTCCACAAATATTCAAGACGTTCGTACATTTATTCTCCAATTGACACAGCGGAAACAAGAATAAACATGACTAGCAACTAGAAGTAGCTAGTCTGCCAACTTCTATTCATTTAAAACTAATAAAAGTCATCCTCAGAGTCTTCTACGTAAACCAATTCATACTCTTCAGAATCTGCAAAAATGGTAAGAAGTGGGTTGAGCGACACATCGCTCAGTAGGCAATATTTACCCCTCTGTTGGACCATGCACTCTTAATTTTATAGATACATAAGTATATAAGTACAACTCAAATCATTTGCATATCATTCACATCCGTGATTTTGAAAGTAACGTTATTTATAAAGAATTCAGCAGTAAAGAAGGACAAGAAATTTTAAAGCATCTTATTGATAGTTGTACATGAGAAATCGTAAAGTCATAAATCATTTCATCTCAAGGCACAAATCTCTTCATATCCATTCGTAAATCAACTCATATCAGTTCATAAGTCTCATTTCAACTCGGTTCATAAATCATTCCATCAGATCAACTCATAACAAGTACATGCAATGACCGGCTACTGAGTACTCAACCTAGAGATTAGATCCCTTCTAGGTGGGCGACCAATAGATTTCATAACTATCGATTGATCTCACATTTCATTCTTGGGTCAATCGACCGGACTTTATACCAGTCCGGTCGATTGACAAGGTCATGGTAGCCTGGTATAAAGTCCGGCCGATTGACTTTATACCAGGCTACCATGGCTTTGTCAATCGGCCGGACTCTATACCAGGCTACCATGACCTTACCAATCGGCCAGACTTTATACCAGGCTACCATGGCGATTAAACAGGATTATATCCCCTACCGTCTATTCCATGACTGCTCTGAGTTTTACTTGTCAAAATTCATTTCATATATCATATACATAAATCTTTGCTTTCATGAAAGATCCATCTCATTTGTATATAAGAACATATCAAAACATGTCAAATAAGTCACATGGTTCATTTTGTATAATAAAATATAACTTTCATAAATACACAAGTAAAGCATTTAATCAAACATCTTTCGAGTCAACACAACAAAATGTGATTGAAAACAAGAATTTCATTTTATATATTTGAAATCTCAGAAGGGTAAGTACCACCTACCTCTGTTTGGCTGCTCGAGTGGAACTACCTTAGACCCTTGTATTGCACCTATCAAACGCATAGGTTCCCTAATTAGTTGCTACTTCCTATAAATGCATAAATATACAACCTCTAAATAAGCATAAGATTCATACCTAAACCATTAAATGGACCCTAATAGCATCTCCCTCAAATTGGGCGATTTTCTATTTTTGGAAAGTTTCCTAATTTAAAATAAAATAATTATTTATAATCATGTTTATTATTTTGACTGTTATCTTACTATACATATTTATAATTAATAATTATTATATTATTATATTATTATCGTCCTTGTCGTCGCTACTTTATTTTATTACCACTTATATATATTTATTAATTAGTTATTATTACCTTTCACTTTATTCCTACCTTTGTGCACGTGTAGGTGTTATTATTATTTATGTATATATGTGCACATATATATATATATATATTGATTTATTATTATAATTATTGTCTTAATTTATTACACTTGTATATGTATTTATATTTTCGTTTACATCCTTTATTTGTTCCATCCATATTATTATTACTATTATTATTATTATTATTATTTTAAGCGCTTTGTTCAACAATCTAGAGCATATCTTACATTGTATAACTTAATCTAATAAGGCTAGGTTAAAATGTTTTAGATTTCTATTTAAGTACTTTAGACTTAATTAATAAAGTAATATTTTACATGACTAAACCTCAATTCTAACAATTATATTAAATTGGGTCCTGAATTTTAATATTCACAATATACTATAAAAATGGACTAGTTATAATTAAAATCTATTTATTAAATATTTACTAAATTTTTTTATACTATAATCTGGTCCAAGTTTAAATTGCTCCTTTTCTACTTATTTATTTTTGTTTATTGTTATCTTTATTTTCATTTTATTTTTTTATTATTATTATTTTATTCCTGGCGGGGCCCATGGTTGGCCGGCCAACCATGGCCTGACCATGGTCGCCAGACTATCTAGCGACCCAAATCAGCCTTTCGGCCAACCAAAATTGTCCCATTGTCGCCAGCACTCGCTGGCGACATCACCTTCATTCTTTTTTTTTTTTTTTTTGCCTCGGCCAACCCTTGTAATTCCTTTCCCCTGCGGCAGTGCCTGACCAAAACAGAGCAGCAGCTCTTTTTTTTTTTTTCAACAGATTTGGGTCATCTACTCACCAATGATCAAGATCTAACACCCTATTTTTACCAATCCAAATATGAATCCTTCTAAATTTCTTATAAGAACATATACATCTACATATATGTAATGACATCACATGTCCATAAATGTTCCAAAATAATTAATTCATCTACTAAAACTTAAAAGAGAGGTTTTCTTGCATAAATTCGAGACTTACAGGTATGGGTGTCTAATCGTCGGATCGATTGACGATGTTGCCTGCTTCTCCTTCTCCCCTCTCTGACGGCTCTTGCTCTCGGGGGCAGACGAAAGAAAGGTAAGGTTGGGCTTATTTTCTGTCTAGGGTTTCAATAAAACCCTAAACCTAGCACTACTTATATTAGTACCCCTTGCCCTATCCTAAAGTTACCTTATTTTATTTTTCCCCTTTTTACTTAGTAACTTTATTCTTTTAATTAGTTGAGAAAATAAAATAAGCTAAAAAAACTAAATAAAAATAAGGAACTAAAATTGGTACCACATTCATGGGTTTCACATTTTACCCCCTTACAAAAAGTTTCGTCCCCGAAACTTGCGTACCTTGATCAAAGAGGTATGGGTACCTATTCCGCATGTTCTCTTCCAACTCCCACGTTGTTTCTCGTGGTGTATGGTTCGTCCATTGCACCTTGACGTACGGTATGGTCCTTCTCCTTAAGACTTGATCCTTTCGATCTACGATTCTTAAAGGAACTTCCTCCACTGATAGGTTCTCCTTCGTCTCGATGGGTTGGTCTTCCAAAATATGACTCTGGTCTGATACGTACTTTCTCAGTTGGGAGACATGGAACACATTATGTATCCTTGACAAAGCAGGTGGGAGGGCCAGTCGATACGCTAGAGGTCCAACTCTGTCCAGTATCTCGTAAGGTCCTACCTATCTTGGACTTAACTTATCACTTCGTCCAAATCTCATCACCCCCTTGGTAGGGAACACTTTCAAATATACCTTTTCTCCCGGTCGGAACTCCAAAGGTCTCCTTTTTGAATCCGCCCAACTCTTGTTACAGTCCTGGGCTACCTTTAATCTCTCTCGTATGATCTTAATTTTCTCCAAAGTTCGTTCTACCAAATCAGAGCCAGTGATCAGTTTCTCGCCTACTTCATCCCAATATAAGGGGGATCTACACTTTCGTCCATACAATGCCTCAAACGGCGCCATGCCTATACTGTTATGATAGCTATTATTGTATGAGAACTCCATTAGTTTCACCAACCTGTCCCAACTATCCGTAAAGTCTAGCGCACAAGCTCTGAGTAGAACTTCCAAAGTCTGTATGGTTCTTTCCGATTGTCCATCCGTCTAGGGGTGGAAGGCAGTACTTAATCTCAAGTCAGTCCCCATGACTTCTTGATAGGTCAACCAAAATCTAGACGTGAACCTAGAGTCTCGATCGGACACTATACTCATTGGAATACCATGAAGGCATACAATTTCTTCCATATACATTTCTACTAGCCTCTCCATTGATATTCCGTTCGATATTGGTAGGAAGTGAGCTGATTTGGTTAATCGGTCGACTATAACCCAAATGGTATCATTATTCCTAATGGTTCTAGGCAACCCAACCACAAAATCCATTGTCACGTGTTCTCACTTCCATTGGGGAATCTCTAGGGGTTGCAATAAGTCGGCAGGCCTTTGATGCTCAGCCTTTACCTGTGGGCACACCAAACATTTCGCCACATATTCGGCTATCTCTCGTTTCATTCCATTCCACCAATAGTTCCTCTTCAGATCCCGATACATTTTGGTTCCCCCAGGATGGATCGAGAACCTTGAATTGTGTGCCTCCTTCAGCAATTCCTGTTTCAGTCCTTCATCTCTTGGCACACATAACCTACCATCTTTCCACAAACTCCCATCACCCTTCAATTCAAATCCATCAAAGGGTTCCAATTCAAGTTTTCCCTAATCTTTGCAAACCCGTCATTCGCGCGCTGCATTTCCTTAATCCTATCTATCAAGGTCAGCGTGACTACTAGGGCAGCTAGCATTTTAGCAGTGGAGTCCACCGTTTCCACCTCAAAATTCTCCATCTGATCCTTTACCGTGAGTTCTCTTCATACCCTCAATTTCTTACTAAGGGCATCGGCTACCTTATTTGCCTTGCCCGGATGGTAACTGATTGTCAGATCATAGTCCTTAATTAATTTTAGCCACCTCCTCTACCTCATGTTCAACTCTCTTTGAGTGAACAGATACTTGAGATTCTTGTGATCGGTAAATACCTCACATTGTACACCATACAGGTAATGACTCCATATTTTTAATGCGAATACTACTGCTGCCAACTCCAAATCATGCGTCGGATAATTCTGTTCATAAGATTTTAGTTGGCGGGAGGCATAAGCAATAACTTTTCCATTTTGCATCAACACGCATCCTAAACCATTTTTAGAGGCATCACTATAGATCACAAATCCTTCCATTCCAGAGGGTAGGGTAAGTACTGGGGCTGACACTAATGTCTCCTTTAACTTCTGAAAACTTGATTCACATTTATCTGTCCATTCAAACTTTGCTCTCTTTTGAGTTAACCTAGTGAGAGGCGTAGCAATAGTGGAGAATCCTTCCACAAATTTTCGGCAGTAACCAGCCAAACCTAAGAAACTCCTTACCTCGGTTACATTAGTGGGTCGTGGCCAGTCTACAATCGCCTCCACCTTCTTCGGGTCCACAGACACCCCTTGACCCGATATCACATGACCTAAGTATGCCACACTCTTCAACCAAAATTCACATTTACTAAATTTAGCATACAATTTCTCTCTTCTTAATATCGTTAGGACCTCTCTATGGGCAGCATGAGTTTTCTCGTTTGGAGAGTACACTAAGATATCATCAATAAATACTACGACAAAACGGTCCAACTGTGGTTTAAATACCCGATTCATCATATCCATAAAGGCTGCCAGGGCGTTAGTTAATCCAAAGGGCATGACCAAAAACTCATAGTGCTCGTATCTCGTGCGAAATGCACTTTTCTGGATATCTTCGGCCTTAATCTTCAGTTGATGATATCCCGACCTCAGATCTATCTTAGAAAATATCTTAACTCCTTTCAATTGGTCAAAAAGATCATCTATCTTTGGAAGAGGGTACTTGTTCTTTATCGTGATCCGATTCAACTCCCTATAATCGATTCACAATCTCAAACTACCATCATTTTTCTTTATAAAGAGCACTGGCGCACCCCACGGAGAAATGCTAGGTCTAATGAATTTCTTGTCCAACAATTCTTGTAATTGCTTCTTGAGTTCCTTTAATTCCGCAAGTGCCGTCCTATAGGGGGCCTTGGATATGGGATTCGCCTCAGGTATAACATTTATTTCAAATTCTATTTCCCTATCCGGAGGTAGGCCAGGAAGGTCCTCTGGGAACACGTCGGAAAAATCCTTCACCATTGGAATTTTTTCTAAGGACGTCTCTTCCTTCTCCATATCTACAACGTAAGCTAAATATGCCTCGCATCCTTTTCTTATTGCCCTATGTGCCTGCATGGCAGACAGGAGAGGTAACCGACGAACCCTCCTATTATCAACATTTCCTTGGTATGAAAAATCCTCCTCATCCGGTTTCATAAATAATACCCTCTTCTTCCTACAATCAATTTGTGCAAAATGTCTAGCTAGCCAATGCATCCCTAGGATAACGTCAAAGTCACTCATGTTTATTTGTACTAGATCCACTTCCAATTTCTTGTCCTCCAATTCCACACTACAGTTCGGATACCTAGTATGAGACACTAAGATTTTATTTTCTGGAGCAGCTACTCGGTAGGGGTGGTCCATCCATTCAGGAGGCATGCACAAGTATTTAACAAATTTCCTAGCAACAAAAGAGTGACTAGCTCCACAATCAAACAGCACATATGCAGGCGTAGAATTAATTAGAAGAGTACCTGTGACCACGTCGCCTGACACCTCCGCCTCAACGTCGGTCATGGCATGTACTCTCACGTTAACCTTTGGCTTCATATCGGCGGGCTTGCCATTCTTATCTCCTCCCGACTTCCTATTTGGACAATTCATAGCTCTATGTCCCAGCTGTCCACATTCAAAACAAGCCCTTGTTCCAGATCAGCACTTCCCTCGATGCATCCTCCCACAAGTCTTACACGTAGGGGTCGTCTTAAGTCAGCATTCTCCTCGATGCATCTTTCCACAAGTTTTGCACGTAGGAAAGGTGTTTCCTCCAGTTACCTTCAGTGGTGGCCCACGACTTTTCTTAATTAGGCGGAACCGCCCGCCAGGTTCCCGACACTACCAGTTCATTCCCTAGTCTAGGCCTTTTATTCCTACCCTCTTCGTCCAATCTTTTGCAGTCAGCCTCAGCCTTCACGCTGGCATCCAGTACGTCATTAAACATTGGGGCGTACGTGGTGTTTACCCTAGTTTGAATTCTACTTGCTAACCCCCGTACAAACTTATATTTCTTCAACTCGACATCCGCCATGGTCGACGGCACGAACCTTCCCAGCGCCATAAACTTATTTGAATATTGTACCACAGACATACCCGGTGTTTGCCTCAAATTTTCAAACTGATCTATTTTCTGCATTCTCACGGCGGGTGGGAAAAAGTATTTCAGGAATTCCTCTTTAAATTTTGTCCAACTTACTGGTGGGGCAACGGTAGGTTCCAGAGTTGCCCACCACTTATTTGCCTCTCCTACCAAAAAGGGTTTGACAATTAGGTGCTTTATCTCCTCTGGCACTTGTAAAAGTGCGAAATTATTTTCTATCTCATCTAACCATTTTTCTGCCAAGTCCGGATTAGGGGTTCCATCAAAGGTAGAGACATGGACCCTTTTCATTTTCTCATAGTAGGATTGGGTTCCCCCTTGTCCATGACCCTGGGTTTGGACAGCCTGGAATTGCGCTAACTGGGATTGGGCTTGTAATGCTTGGGCTACTCCAGTTAGGGCAGTCACTAATTCCGTTGGTAACATCATGTAGGGTTGATGCCCGCTTGAACCAGCCCCCTGGTGACCCATATCCTGAACATTATTTCCTGGATACGGTTCTTGGCTGTGACTACCCTGGACATCCTCGCCATTAGAGCTGCCATTGCGATTCCCGCCACGCCCAGTTCTTTGTGCCATTTCCTAAGTCACACAAATGAGCCCCATACTACGTGAGTCTGTTACCCCTATTTATCATTATGCATACATGTATACACATATATAGATACACAAGAAAACACGCTTTTAACGCTATTAAGACAGTCCAACTAGGGTTGCCTACTTGCCTACTTTACGCGTACTACCCTTAAAACAATATGGCGAATGATCACATAAAACAAATTATGATGACAATTAGCTATATAATAAAATAATATATATATATATATATATTTAAGTAGGAGGTTTCATTCGCTACTCCGAATGAGAACAACAATTGACCCCCTTACACAGCGGTCAAATAATCCAACTATTTCCTCAAAAGAAAAATGTCTTACAACCTAGCGTCCAAACTGTCTAATTATAGCCTTCGACTGACTACAGGACTAATCTACGCAAACAACCGCTAATCAACCTACCAAAGTTTTTTTTTTTTTGGAATAATATTCCATGATACTAATAAAGCGAGTGATTCGTCAAACGAACCCTCTTTTAGACCAACTCCACTACTCATCAACTGGTGGATCTACATCCATAATAGCTCCATCTCTTATGCCCTCCCCAGCACCATCCTGGTCCTCAACTCCATCTTCTCCCTCTTGATTTTCCATGGGCATGTTCCCAGGGTCCTCGTCGGGGTCATCCTCTATCTCTGCATCACTATCAGGCCACAGGTGATTCCACCCAGGCATCTGCGGTGCAAGGGGCTGGTGGTCAGCTATCCAATTCATCACGCGTTGCCTTTTCTCAGCATATTTCACCGCTAGGGTTTCTTACTCCGCCTGTCGATTCTGGAGTAGGGAAGCTACTTCTTCAAATCTCTCATTATACATATCGGCTAGTCCCTTCTGTACTTCCATATCTGCTTTCAGCTTAATGACCCAGGCATCTGCGGTGCAAGGGGCTGGTGGTCAGCTATCCAGTTCATCACGCGTTGCCTTTTCTCACCATATTTCACCGCTAGGGTTTCGTACTCCGCCTGTCGATTCTGGAGTAGGGAAGCTACTTCTTCAAATCCCTCATTATACATATCGGCTAGTCCCTTCTGTACTTCCATATCTGCTTTCAGCTTAATGACCTCTTCTCGCAGACGGAGGGCCTCTCCACGCCAGCCTTTCATGTCCTGTCTCATGTGCTCCCGCGACACTATCAGCGACGAGATCTCTTGCCTTTGGTCAGCTACTTGGTCACTCAACGCATAAGCCTTCCTAGCTCCGTCCGTGGCTCTCTCTAACTCCTCGAGGAACCGTTCCCTATAAAACCTTTGTCTCTTCCTAAGGCGAGCCACGTCACATCCCGTCCAATGGACTGGGCAGTCGCAATTCTCTTGCTCCCCGTGCACTGGTTCGGCCATCTCCTATAACACCAAATGGAATGCCATCAGCCATGCCTCCCTCCTCTTTAAAGTACACAGATTTTTTTTTTCAAACCTACTTTACTACTTACACTACTTATTTCATGAATTATTCTATCTTATGGTCTTATCTCGAACCCAGGCTCTGATACCACTAAAAATGTCACGCCCCGAGACCGCACGTGCCCGTCACATGACATCCGCCGTACTCCCAAGTCTCACTCAAGAATACAAGGCTACATTAACTAATTTAACTTTAACAGCACTAAATCATTCAACTAAATAAAGTGCGGTACGAATTATGTATAAGAGAAAGTCCACAAATATTCAAGACGTTCGTACATTTATTCTCCAATTGAAACAGCGGAAACAAGAATAAACATGACTAGCAACTAGAAGTAGTTAGTCTGCCAACTTCTATTCATTTAAAACTAATAAAAGTCATCCTCAGGGTCTTCTACGTAAACCAATTCATACTCTTCAGAATCTGCAAAAATGGTAAGAAGTGGGTTGAGCGACACATCGCTCAGTATCCAATATTTACCCCTCTGTTGGACCATGCACTCTTAATTTTATAGATACATAAGTATATAAGTACAACTCAAATCATTTGCATATCATTCACATCCGTGATTTTGAAAGTAACGTTATATATAAAGAATTCAGCAGTAAAGAAGGACAAGAAATTTTAAAGCATCTTATTGATAGTTGTACATGAGAAATCGTAAAGTCATAATTCATTTCATCTCAAGGCACAAATCTCTTCATATCTATTCGTAAATCAACTCATATCAGTTCATAAGTCTTATTTCAACTCGGTTCATAAATCATTCCATCAGATCAACTCATAACAAGTACATGCAATGACCGGCTACTGAGTACTCAGCCTAGAGATTAGACCCCTTCTAGGTGGGCAACCAATAAATTTTATGACTATCGATTGATCTCACATTTCATTCTTGGGTCAATCGGCCGGATTTTATACCAGGCTACCATGACCTTGCCAATCGGCCGGACTTTATACCAAGCTACCATGGCTTTGTCAATCGGCCGAACTCTATACCAGGCTACCATGACCTTACCAATTGGCCGGACTTTATACTAGACTACCATGGCGATTAGACAGGACTATAGCCCCTACCGTCTATTCCATGACTGCTCTGAGTTTTACTTGTCAAAATTCATTTCATATATCATATACATAAATCTTTGCTTTCATGAAAGATCCATCTCATTTGTATATAAGAACATATCAAAACATGTCAAATAAGTCACATGGTCCATTTTGTATAGTAAAATGTAACTTTCATAAATACACAAGTAAAGCATTTAATCAAACACCTTTCGAGTCAATACAACAAAATGTGATTGAAAATAAGAATTTCATTTTACACATTTGAAATCTCAAAAGGGTAAGTACCACCTACCTCTGTTTGGTTACTCGAGTGGAACTACCTTAGATCCTTATATTGCACCTATCAAACGCATAGGTTTCCTAATTAGTTGCTACTTCCTATAAATGCATAAATATACAACCTCTAAATAAGCATAAGATTCATACCTAGACCATTAAATGGACCCTAATAGCATCTCCCTCGAATTGGGTGATTTTCTATTTTTGGAAAGTTTCCTAATTTGAAATAAAATAATTATTTATAATCATGTTTATTATTTTGACTGTTATCTTACTATACATATTTATAATTAATAATTATTTATTATTATATTATTATCGTCTTTGTCGTCGTTACTTTATTTTATTACCACTTATATATATTTATTAATTAGTTATTATTGCCTTTCACTTTATTCCTACCTTTGTGCATGTGTAGGTGTTATTATTATTTATGTATATATGTGCATATATATATATATATTGATTTATTATTATAATTATTGTCTTAATTTATTATACTTGTATATATATTTATATTTTTGTTTACATCCTTTATTTGTTCCATCCATATTATTATTACTATTATTATTATTATTATTTTAAGCCCTTTGTTCAACAATCTAGAGCATATCTTACATTGTATAACTTAATCTAATAAGGCTAGGTTAAAATATTTTAGATTTCTATTTAAGTACTTTAGACTTAATTAATAAAGTAATATTTTACATGACTAACCCTCAATTCTAACAATTATATTAAATTGGGCCCTGAATTTTAATATTCACAATATACTATAAAAATGGACTAGTTATAATTAAAATCTATTTATTAAATATTTACTAAATTTTTTTATACTATAATCTGGGCCAAGTTTAAATTGCTCCCTTTCTACTTATTTATTTTTGTTTATTGTTATCTTTATTTTCATTTTATTTTATTATTATTATTATTTTATTCCTGGCGGGTTGGCCAACCATGGCCAGACCATGGTCGCCAGACTCTCTGGCGACCCAAATCAGCCTTTCGGCCAACCAAAATTGTCCCATTGTCGCCAGCACTCGCTGGCGACATCACCTTCATTCTTTTTTTTTAGCCTTGGCCAACCCTTGTAATTCCTTTCCCCTGCGGCAGTGCCTGACCAAAACAGAGCAGCGGCTTTTTTTTTTCTTCAACAGATTTGGGTCATCTACTCACCAATGATCAAGATCTAACACCCTTTTTCCACCAATCCAAATATGAATCCTTCTAAATTTCTTATATGAACTTATACATCTACATATATGTAATGACATCACATGTCCATAAATGTCCCAAAATAATTAATTCATCTACTAAAACTTAAAAGAGAGGTTTTCTTGCATAAATTCGAGACTTACAGGTGTAGGTGTCTAGTCGTCGGATCGATTGACGATGTTGCCTGCTTCTCCTTCTCCCCTCTCTGACGGCTCATGCTCTAGGGGGCAGACGAAAGAAAGGTAAGGTTGGGCTTATTTTCTGTCTAGGGTTTCAATAAAACCCTAAACCTAACACTACTTATATTAGTACCCCTTGCCCTATCCTAAAGTTACCTTATTTTATTTTTCCCCTTTTTACTTAGTAACTTTATTCTTTTAATTAGTTGAGAAAATAAAATAAGCTAAAAAAACTAAATAAAAATAAGGAACTAAAATTGGTACCACATTCGTAGGTTTCACAAAAAACAAATCTAAGTTGCCAAAAAATCTAGCTGTTCCTATGTACCATTTATTGAAAAAGAAGAAGTTATAGTACAATTTTTTTTTAATAGAAACACATGGGCCAATGGGCCTTCTTTTTGTTTTATATCTTCAGACTTTTTGGTGGATTTTGCCTTGGGTTTTGGGAGTTTTTGCTTGGACTTTATTTGGGTTTTGATTTGGGTTTTGGGGGGAATTTTTGGTTGGATTAGAAAGGAAATCTCTACTATTTTCTTTTAATTTTGAAAATCCCATTTTTCTTTTCTTTTCTTCCTACAAAATAATACAAAAATAAAATAAAAATGAAAATGATAAAATAAAGATACAACAAAAATTAATAAAATTTTTTGGAAAACATTTGGTGTCTATAAATGCATTTAATGATTAGTACTAGTGGTGGTTTAAAACTTGTCGTCCAACTTCTAATTCTTGTATAATCATGGCAATCTCTCTTACAAAGATTCTAATTAAAAAGTTCGAATTTTATTAGGAGTAGTTCAAATTTAGGACCTTGGTA